CTACAATAGCTCGGATTTGGGCTCACAATCACCAGGCCCAGTATGCCCCTGCCGGCCTGGAACAGCCTCCCATTGGCCCGTGTTGTTCTTTCCTTCGTCTTGTCATGCCAGGGTCCTGCTCCCTGTGGAGCATCACTGAGTTTCTACAGCAGCCTGCTATTCCTTGGTGCCTTCCCCGTAACGTTTCTGTGTGCTTTCAGCTCCCTACATCACTGTGTGGGTTTTGTTTCCGTTTAACGGTGGCTTTCTTTTCCTCTCCCCACCCCCCACACTTGTTCAATTATTGGGGAGGGTTCACACATGTTACAGTCTGAATGTGGAGGTAACAAGACAACTTGGTGAAAGGTGGTTCTTTCTACCGTGTGGTTCCCAGGGAGCAAACTCAAGTCATCAGCCTTAGTAGCAAGCACCTTTGTGATTGAGCCCTCTTTTTGTGCTAAGCTTAGCTCATGCCCCGGCTCATGCTCCTAGGCAACACCCTGCACACTGAGCTATAGTTCTCTCCTCTCAAACTCCTTACACAAACTTGGGTTCTGTTCAGACTTCTCCCCGTCCCAACTAATTCTCCACTTTGTGGACCCTGTTTTGAGGTCTGCCTGGAAGTGAGTGCTGAGACTGTGTCCCCTGTGCTGGCACCTGAAACCACAAGTTAGAGAGCTCAGTCCTTCAAGATATCACCCGCTTTAGGTGGCCCTCACAAGCCCCATGTTGCTGCCTGCCCTTCTGAGGGGCTGGTTTTCAGATGGAGAGCTGAAACAGCTGAGGAACTGGAGGAAGCAACTGCCATCTCTTGCTTCCTAGGAAAGGTACAACCCGGGAGTGGCCAGTTGAAAGAGGCACATGGACTGTGTGTGTGGGGGGGGGGTAATCCGTGCTCAGCCTTCATGATATGTGATTACCAACCCAGAGGCTCTAAACTGCAGTGAGAGCCTTTTATGGAGGCTTCACACCCCTAACGAACAAACAGGCGTGGGTAAGAAAGACACACAGTGCCAGGCTTTTCATCTGGAGTATGTTCTTCTGTGAGCAGCCCCATCCTGAAGCTCCCCAGGACCCACCAGACTCCACCTCAGGAGAATGAGAATTTCCTCATCCCTCTGGAAGATTTAAGGGATTCAGGACTGAGATGTTCCCATGACCCCCATTGGGAATCTTATCTGGGTGTGGTAACACATGCCTTTAATCTCAGCTCCTGGGAGACAGAGACCGTAGATCTGTGAGTTTAAGGCTATTCTGGGTACCGTAGGCCATTCCTAGACAGCCAAGTGCTGCACAGTGAAACCCCTGCCTCAAAAAAAACAAAAACCACTCTGTGAGTTCAAGGCCAGCCTGATCTACAGAGTGAGTTCCAGGCCAGCCAGGCCTGTTACACAAGAGAACCCCTGTCTTGAGAAACAAAAAACAGGGATCTCGGAGCTGGAGAGATGGCTCAGTCATTAAGAGCATTCACTGGCTGCTCTTCTAGATGACCTGGGTTCGATTCCCAGCACTCAGATGATAGCTCACAACTGTAACTCCAGGATCTACTACACAGACATACATGCAGGTAAAACACCAATGCATACAAAATAAAAAATAAATTATAAAAAAAAAAACAGGGATCTCACGAACTCTGTGTCAGATGATATATACATTTCACTTTGTCATAATGTTTTGGGTTTTGTTTTTCAGTTTAAAAAGATTTATTTTAATTATGTATCTATATATGTGTGCATGTGTGGAGGTGCGCAGAGACAGGAGGTTGTGAACCATCTGACATAAGAACTGGGAACTGAACTCAGGTCTTCTGGAAGGGTGAGATGTTTTCCTTTTTTCTTTATTTATTTTGGTGTTTTGAGACAGGATCTCTCTACGTGGCCTTGGCTATCCTGAAACTCACTCTGTAGACCAGGCTGGCCTCAAGCATAGAGGGATCCACTTGTCTCTGCCTCCCCATTGCTGGAATTAAAGGCATGCATCATCACACCTGGCCACTACTCAGCCATCTCTAGTTCAGTTTTCTTTTTCTTTTTCTTTCTTTCCTTTTTTTTTTTTGTTTTTTTTGTTTTTTTGTTTTTTTGAAACAGGGTTTCTCTGTGTAGCTTTGGAGCCTATCCTGGCACTCGCTCTGCAAACCAGGCTGGCCTCAAACTCACAGAGATCCACCTGCCTCTGCCTTCCGAGTGCTGGGATTAAAGGCGTGCGCCACCAACGCCCGGCTTGAAATACAGCTTCTTATACGGTATCTGTAAGGGGAAAATGGGCCAAATACAGCTAAATCAGACAGTATTGGCAAAGAGTATACAGAATCCCTCATGGACATCTATCTGCTCAAGGACTGACAACCTCAGCCTAGAGGAAAGAATAGGATGCCAATAACCTGTAATCTTCACTCCTTCAAGGCACAGTCCCCAGCCTCACACCTGGCCAAGTCTGCTCCTGGACAGTAACACAGAACTAGCATCCCCTTTGTCCTTTTATTCAGGCCTCTGAGAAAGCCTTGGATTTTCAGACTCCCAACAAGGTCTCATATACCTCAGGCTGGATTTGAACTTGCTATGTAACCAAGGATGACCTTAAACTTCCTGATCCTGCTGCCTCCACCTCCCAAGAGCCATTTTACAGGTGTGCGCCACCATTTCCCACCCTGTTTTATTTATTTCATGCCCCCCCATAAGATGTGTGAGCACAGGAATTTGATTTCTGTCAGTGACAATCCTGCACTTAAATAGTGAGCAGCACATAGGAAATACTCGTGTATCACCGAATCAGTCAAAAGAGCAAGGGGCAGGGCTAGATGGAGTAACAGGCTGCACTTGCAGAGGACCTGTGATTGCTGGGGGTTTCTGTCGTAGGGCAGGGGACAGTCGGTGTGCTGACTAGTCTGTCAACTTGACACACAGGCTAGAGTCATCTGAAAGGAGTGACCCTCAATTGAGAAAATGCCTGCATAAGGTCCAGCTGTAAGACACTTTCTTTATGAGTGATTGATGAGGGAGGGACCAGCCCATTGTGAGTGATTCTGTCCCTGGGCTGGTGGTCTTGGGTTCTGTTAGAAGACAAGTTGAGCAAGCCAGTAAACAGCATCCTCCATGTCCTCTGCATCAGCTCCTGCCTCCCAAGCTCCTGCCCTGCCTGAGTTTCTGACTTCCTCTAATGACGAACTGTGATGTGGAAGTGTAAATGCAGTAAGCCCTCTCCTCCCAGGTTACCAGGTGGCTGGCACCTAAGGAGCCTGTCCAAGGAGCCTGTGGGCTCCACATGCATGCGTACCGGGACACACACACAAGGGAGGGAGGGAGTAAAAGTGCTGCAACCACAAAAAGGGTTTTGGTAATAGCTTTCTTCATATTTTATCCAACAAAAATGCATTAGACTGCTGAGTGTGGCAGCATACAGCTTTGGTCGCAGCATTTGAAGGCAAAGGCAGACAGACCCTCAGAGTTCAAGGCCAGCCTGGGTAATGTAGCTTACTCCATCTCAAAAACCATACCAACAGAAAAGCATGTTGAGTCCAGATAGAATGTCCAAAAAGGTCACCACTTACTGCTCCTAATACTAAAATACCAGAGATTAGCATTTGCCTTTTGCTCCTCCTCAGACTAAAGGCCTTGGGTCACTATCTATGACCCTATAATCCTCAGGTACACCGAGAACATGGTTTGGCTAACTTATATTTGAAAGGTCTGACCCTGCAAGGGATAACTTTAAGTTTTATTTTTAAATATGTGTGTCCCTGTGTGTCTGCATGAGGATCTACACAGAGGAGTGCAGTTGCCAGGGGAGCTGGAATCACAGGCAGTTGTGAGCCAGTGAGGATGCTGGGAACTGAACTTGGCTCCTCTTCAAGAGGATTATGGACCTGTAACCCCTGACTGTGGCTCTTGCCCTCTCTGCTTTTTTTCATATTTCTATGAGCATGTCTGCGGGCCATAGTAACCAAATCCTCTTGCAGTGTGTAAGCCAAAGGCAGGCCTTCGGGCCCCTGGTACCCATTAGGATTCTGTTGCAAACATTAAAGATAAATAGCCTCAGGGTTCTACATGTCCGGACAGTGAGGAATTTAGACTGGTCCCTAGGATAATATGATCCTCATAGTAGGTAGGGTCTAGCTAGCTAGGGCACCAGGGCAGTACAAAAAACAGCAGAGGATCCCAACATAGGCGCTAGCGCTTCCTCCGGCCCCAGGCACAGAAGGAAGGGGCGGGGCCTCCACTGGTCGATGCCGGAAGTGCCTCTCCGCCCCTGCTGCTGGACCATGGAGACCGTGGCCCAGTAGAGCCCTTAGTGTGAGACTTGCAGGGGCGGTGGCCATGGAGGCCGTGCTAAACGAGCTTGTGTCTGTGGAGGATCTGAAGGTGAGGCCTGGGCCAGAGGAAGGAGGCGGGCAGAATCGGAAAAGGCAGTGCCTGAGGAGAGCTGACCGAGGCCGAACCCTGCCGGCTTCGGCTTGCTGGGGAAACTGAACTACTGTTCCCAGCGGCCTCTGCGGTGTCCTGCTTCTTGTAGGAACCTGTGCTGTATCCCCGGGCCTGATGGGAGTTGTAGTTTCCAGTGTTTTGGCGACTCAGACCTGAGGCCTGGTGTGTTAGGGGGTTAAGTGTGATGCAGAGTTGGAATTTGGGGTACTCATGCAAGCCATGAAGTAGCATAGTCACCTGCGTAAGCTTTTGCTAGTGTTGAGTCTAGCATGGTTCGCTGCATGCTAGCCCTCACCGTTGTAGCGGTGTTTTCTTTCCTCTTCTAGAATTAAGGCAAGGCAGATCCAGCTCCCCTCCCCCCCAAAAAAAGTAGGGTGGGACGGAACCTGCAGCCTTTAGCGAAGGCTGAATGGAAGGTCATTTAGCTGCTGTGACAGTATGTTTACTGTTCAGCTATTTGGGGTCAGCTGGGCCGGGAGCAGTGCCCGCAGCTGCCACCAGGCGTCATCCCCACTTGGAACCACTAGGGACTGGGTGCAGGGACTTCCTGAGGGGAAGGCACGAGCCTGGGTACCGAGATCTACAAGAGGAAGGGGGGACAGGAAAGTGTGGCCTAACTGGGACTTAGACACCAAGTTCAGCTGGAGAACGCTGGACGCTCTTTGATTCTAAATGATTCCCTTTCTCTCTAACGACAGAATTTTGAAAGGAAGTTTCAGTCTGAGCAGGCAGCTGGCTCTGTATCCAAAAGCACACAGTTTGAGTATGCCTGGTGCCTGGTGCGAAGCAAATACAATGACGACATCCGTAGAGGCATCATGCTCCTGGAGGGTAAGGCGCTGGATCCCCTTGACCTCAACCTTCCGGGGTCCTTCTCAATATGGAACCCTCACCTCATAGCCACCAGTAACAACCAGTAAACTCACAGCTGCAAAAGACTGTGGTTCTCTGTATCACCAGTTTCAACAGACGAACATTCATTCAGATGGAAAATGCTGTGGGAAAAAAATACATGTTCTCAGGTGGGGGAGATGACTGCTATCCCCAGCACCCAAGGAAAAAGCTGAGTGTCACCACAAGTACCTGTATAGAGAATAGCAATGAAGTGTATTGCTGGGGGCTTGCTTGCTGCGATCTTAGCTTCAGGTTCATGGGAAACCCCGGGTAGAGAGTGCCTCTGGCCTCTGTGTGTACATCTGCACACAGGTATCCCTACATAGCACACACAAAATATCCACAAACATTTTCTTCATTCAGTTATTAGTTGCTGTTAATATATTAACATTGTTAATATATTAGCATTTACATTGTATTATATAACAGTAATTTTAAAAGTTCTAGAGATTTCAAATATCTGAGGGGCTAGTGGTGTTGAGGACATGTGATCCCAGAACTCCAAAGGTAGAGGCATAAGGACATAGTTCAATAGTACAACATTGACTGCAGAGATGAAGGCAGAAGTTCAAGGCCAGAGTCAGCTGTATACTGATCAAATTCAAGGTCATCCCAGGCTTCCTTAGTTCCCTGTCTCAAAAAAGCATCTTTGGGAAATACAACTAGGTTCTATGCAAATACTGTTTAATTTTATATAAGGGTCTTTACATTTGTAGATTTTGGAATCTGGGGGGCATGTTGGGATAATTCCTAAGGCTATTATTGGGACAACACTCTACAAACAAAAGATTCCTATGTCATTTAGTTGCTTTTTATTTTGACACAGGGTGTTTACATAGCTCAAGGAGCTTCAATTTTTGAATCCTGCTTCAGCCACCTTAGTGTTGGGAATTAAGGTGTGCCATGAGCTCTGGGGTCTTTGTAAAAGCAAATACTGTCTCCTTACTTTGATCAATTTTGATGAAACTCACAGAGATCCACCTGCCTCTGCCTCCCAAGTGCTGGGATTAAAGGGGTGTGCCACCACCTCTGGCTATGAGTCCCAATCTTAACCCCTAGCCCAAATACACACACACACACACACACCGAGACAGAGACACAGAGAGAGAAAGGGGGGATGAAAAATAGTCAGGGGAAAGTCACTCATGGAAGTTGAGTTAAAAGAGAAGAGGATGTGTTGTGGTCTGAGTGTCTTTAATCCCAACACTCAGGAGGTAGAGGCAGAGGCAGGTAGATCTCTTGAGTTCAAGACCAGCCTGGTCTACAGAGTGAGTTCCAGGACAGCCAGCGCTACACAGAGAAACCCTGTCTCAGGGAAAAGGGGAAAAAAAAAAAAAAAGAGCTCAGTCAGTAGAGTGCCTGAGACCCTGGTTTGCTTCCACTCTCAGAACCACATAAGCCAGGTGTGGTCCTGTACCACTCAGGAGGTACCACTCAGCAGCAGGATTAGAAGTTCTGGTCATCAGCTAGATGCCACCAAAAAGAGGGAATGCAAATGTCAGACAGGAGGTGACCTTGCAGTGAGACCCCCTAGCTGGTCAATAGGGATGGGGCCATTCGTGCAGACTGGATCACTTGTTCCCTGCATCTGCCACAGGTGTCTGGCAGGCTCATGCTGCCTCCAGGCTGTGACTAGAAGCTGAGGGTGATAGAAACTGATAATGGAGGTCTAGGACAGTGACCTTCCAAGGATCCTAGAGTGAGTCAGCATGGCAGGACCTGTGTGGGACAGAGTGTTAAGAAGAGAATCCAGGGGCTGGAGAAATGGGCTCAGCAGTTAAGAAAACTGGCTGCTCTTCCAGAGGTCCTGGGTTCAATTCCCAGCACCCACATAGCAACTCACAATTGTCTGTAACTCTGGTTCCAGAGGATCCAGCACCTCACACAAGCAAAACACCATGAAGTAAAATACAAATTTAAAGAGACAGAATCCATCTTTCTCTTCTCCCTTCCCCCCTCCAGAGTTGTTACCCAAAGGGAGCAAAGAGGAACAGCGGGATTATGTCTTCTACCTGGCAGTGGGCAACTACCGTCTCAAGGTAAGGCTGAAGAGCCCTTCTTCCCAATGCACATTCCACTGGAGTCACTCCCAGACAGAGCCCTGGCCCTTAGGAAGCTAGAAAAGGGCAGTGGGCTGGGGCTACGGTAAGTGCGTGGGTATAGAGTAATTCCAAGATAGATTCTTAGGGGAAAATGAGAGACTTTCAGGGTGTGGGGACCATGGTGACGTCAGGATTGGGGTGCAGCACCATGCCTGTAGCTGTTATCTCCACTAGCTTATCACCCCCCACAGCTGGGCTGTTTGTGGACTCTACTCTGTGGGGTGGGGCTGTAGCAGGAGTGGAGGAGGAGGAAGGATGAGCCAGGGCCAGAGAAGGACAGCCCTGGGTGGGGGCTGGCAAGAGTGGCACCCTGAGGAGCATTTGAGGTGAGGTATGTTGGCTTTGCCTGCAGGAATATGAAAAGGCCCTGAAGTATGTACGAGGGCTGCTGCAGACTGAGCCCCAGAACAACCAGGCCAAGGAGCTGGAGCGCCTCATTGACAAGGCCATGAAGAAAGGTGACAAGTCTCTTGACATCTGCTCTTTCTCCTCCCTCATGCCCAGGACCCTGAGGGGGAGTACCCATACACAGTCCTTTATCAAACCTACCCCACAGCTCTCTGGAGCCCTAACCCCCAGACACCCCTGTGGAGGGAAGTGTGAGGGGACTTGGGGCAGGACTGATCTGCTCACGGCTCCCTCTTTCCTTTTTCAGATGGATTAGTAGGCATGGCCATTGTTGGTGGCATGGCCTTGGGTGTGGCGGGGGTGACTGTCCTCATTGGACTAGCAGTCTCCAAGTCCAAATCCTGAAGACAGCCTCACCTGCTCTCTGCCCTGGTGTACCCGGGAGCCTGGGGGACACTGGCAGAGGGTCCTGCCCATCCTCACCATCACCTTCCTTTTCTTCCCCAACCCGCCCCCACCTCTACAGCCTCCGTGACCTTCAACCTCCCATCCCCTGGCACCTGCTGTTTAACCCTAAGTCATGCTTCGCAATGAGTGTAAATAAAATTGGGCTGTGGCTTGGGAACCTCTGTGTCTTAGAGTCTGTTGAGGGAGGAGCAGGTTCACTAGGTGCACTGTGGCCCCCACTACGCCCCTCCAGGTTCCTTTGCCAGCATCCCAGCCCCCGCCCTTCCTTCCTCCCCTATCCTGAATCTACAACGCAGGAACAGGGAACAGCTAGGAGGACATGGCTTTTCCATCGCCCCAGAATCCTGGGAGAGAACAGAAGAGGGAACAGCAGCCTGGGATTTATGACTGTGATCTCCTCTGACCCACTAAGCTGCCTGGGAGTTTTCCACTGCAGGGGGCCCCCACTGGGCTTCCTCCAAAAACCTCCACCCTTCCCTTCCTTTGTCTTCCTGCCCCCTCCCCTTTCCTCTACCCAGTCCTTCTCCTTCGGGGGACATGGATGGGTGACGTAGTGTGAGAGAGGAAGCTCTGTGAAGATGGCAGGGGTTGTGGGGGACAGGATACCCCTTCCCCAACCTGTGAAATGGGAAATGGGAGGCAGTGCCAGGCTCTGTGTGGGCCTGTTTGGCTTGCCTGCGTGCTTGTCATTCCACAGCCCCTGCCAGGCTTGCTACAAAGCAGGAGGAGGTACCTGAGGGGAACAGGGAGGAGACTGATACTGGCTGGTAAAGGGGGTTGGGGGAGCCACAGAGGGTATAGTTATGTCTCACATGCTCTGGACGGGGAATCCTGGTGCCAGCTTGCCAAGCGATAAGTGGCCAAGAAGGAAATCTATGCTCAGCCAGGTGCTCAGCCAGGGTTGGGGTGGAGGATCCAGAGGCATCCATTTATCAGAATTAATTAATAGAGCTGGTGATAGTTCCCAGTAAGTGGATAGGTAGATTAACCAGAATCATGCCCTAGGCCTGTGATCCATCCCCCAAGCATGCGCCCCTGGCCCCTTGGCAGCTAGATCAAACTCAATAATACCAAAGAGTCAAAGGTCAGCTACTGGAAAATTCAAGTTCAGGAAGTTTGGAGGAAAGTAGCATTCAGTGGCCTCACCTCAGCCCTGCGGCATTCAGATCCAGGGCAATTACCAACCGTTGGGGCAATGGGAGTGTGCCGGGATCTGTGATCTGTGGTCCCAACTCCCATTACAACCTAAGAAGTCAATAATGTTGTGTCAACAAGGCTGGGAGCCAAAAACTCAAGCCCAGGGCCCTTTGATAAAGCTGGAGTCTAGTGGGAACCCCGCTGGCCTGATTCCAGAGCTCCTGTTACCCCGTAATCAAACTTCCCTGGTCCTTGGAGACTTAAGTGTCCCAACCCCAGGGTCTTATGTCTTAGGTTGCTCTCAGAATCTCTTACTCCATCATGGAAGCTTGTGGTGGGCCTGTTGGAAGTTTTCTTCTCTCTTGACACTCTGGTCTCTCAGTTAACTTAAAACCCTTTGTCCCTCTAATTTCATTCCCTGACCCTGGTGACAGCTGAGTCAGAGACAGGCCACTTCCCCTGGATTCCTAATGGATCCCTGGGGGCTGCTCCTTGGCTGTATCCCTGAGTCTCCTATTAAGTCCAGCCTCCCCCCTCTTAGGGCGGGGAGTCCCGGGCTAGGCCGGGGGAGGGGGTGGACTTTTGGCCCGTTTATTCCCTCCATCACAGTCAACAGCTGCTGAAGGAAGCTGGCTTGGCTCATTCCACTGACCTGCCAGGAAGCAGAGAGTCCCAGAGACTGGACTGAGACAATCAGGCCTAAGCTCCAGAAGAAAGACTGGGATAGCAGCTGAATGGGCCGTCCTTCACCCTTCTCCCTCCTCAGACTCTCTTAACATCTCTTTTGGGCCAACGCCCCCAGAGAAGGTGCCACCTCTATCCCAATCCCTGGGGCTCAAGCCCCCTTGGGGGACCTGCATCCCAGCATGTCTATAGCTGTGGAGACCTTCGGCTTCTTCATGTCAGCCCTGGGACTGCTGATGCTGGGGGTGACCCTTCCAAACAGCTACTGGAGAGTGTCTACGGTCCACGGGAACGTCATCACCACCAACACCATCTTTGAGAACCTATGGTATAGCTGTGCCACCGACTCCCTGGGAGTCTCCAACTGCTGGGAGTTCCCTTCCATGCTGGCCCTCTCTGGTATGGGGTGAGGGGGCCTCTAGGGGACAGAGGGAGGTTGGGTGGCCGGCTAGGGAATCCTAGAGAAAAGAGTGGGGGTGGTTGCCTTTGGCCTGGTTTTGGGCACCGAAATGATAAAAGTTCAGATGAAGCCCCCAGTTCTGGCAGCTTCGGCGAAGAGCTCTGCATGACCCAGATTGGAACGGGAGAGAGTATCACACACATGGTTCCCTACCCTAATATATGTGATCCTCTACCAGCTAAGTCAAGCTTCCATGTGCAATTTGGGTCTTTGCTAGCTCCAGGCCTCAGGTGAATGATACAATGAATTTGGCCTTGGCCATCTGCAAGCTAGGAGTAACCACGGTGCCAGTGCACAGGTGCTTATCTGGCCTCTAGGCAACAAAACGTGCAGGCGTGAGCGGGATATTGACTATATATTTCAGCGTTTTATTCTGGGGAGGGTTTGCTCAGTTGGCAGGAGTGAGACCAAGACTCCATCTTGGTTGATTGACTTGCCAGCCTCAGTAGCTCTCTGGACATCGAGACTGTGGTCCACCTACCCTGCTAAACTCGAGGGCCCTGGACACAGCACGAATATTCTGGAGGGGAGTCTCCTAGGAAGTCTGAGTCGGTGCTGGAGATGTGGTTATGTGGACATGCTTGTGTATTTGGGGCTCAGAGTGTGGTTTTTGTTATTGTTTTGTTTTGTTTGAGGGTCTTAACTCGGCTACAGCCTGCAGCTCTAACTTGGACCCTGGTGCTGTTTTACTATTTGTTATTTACTCTCTGCATCGCTGCCCCTTGCTAACCTGCACAACAACCCTCCCTTACTCCTCCTGCCATCATTTTCCCCAAGGAGTCCACTTGGACTTCCTAGTCTCTCCCATGCTACAAAGACAGAGTGGATGAACATGAACCCTCCCTGGATGTACCTGCCACCAGGTTCGGGTCTTGCTTTTCTAGAAATCCAACTGCAGATGATGAGTGGGTGGGAAACTGAGGCCAGCCCGGGGCGGGGAAAGTGAACACTGTGAACTGGCTCCATGAATCTGGAAGATGCCCTGAGCAGTGATGGGTATCTGGGTGGATCTCTGGCGCCCCACTCTCCCCAAATCTCCTGAGGTACCTAGTGGCAAGGGTTTCACACTCCAGGGTCTCTGATTGTGCTGCACTCCAAACCTTTGGAAAAGCTGACTCTATTCTGGACCACAAACTCAGAACAGTAAGTGTCCAGAAGGGACCATAGATGTGAGCAACTCTGCTGCATCCCTGCTGTGCAGAGGCTATTTTACTATGGACCTGGCCGCCTAAGAGGGGGCTATACAGTGTTGCTGCTGTTTGCCTGCAAGAGAACATGAGTTTGGAGGAAAAGTCTCATGGGAATTTGCTGGGAGTGATGGAAGATAGAAGGTCTTGGGATCTCTAGGGCTCCTGTCACTTCCCTTTTGTGGCTTTTGGTTTGGTTTGGGTTGGGGTGTGTGTGTGTGTGTGTGTGTGTGTGTGTGTGTGTGT